TCCCAGTCTCCTTTATAGCATCCTCTTATCGATCTTTTTTTTAAAAGATAATTTCCTCAGCCTGGCGTTGGTGGCGCACGCCTTTAATCCCAGCACTCGGGAGGCAGAGGCAGGCGAATCTCTGTAAGTTCGAGACCAGCCTGGACTACCAAGCGAGTTCCAGGACAGCCTCCAAAGCCACAGAGAAACCCTGTCTCGAAAAACCAAAAAAAAAAAAAGATAATTTCCTCTTATTTATTTTATGTGTATGGGTGTTTTGCCTGTGTGCATGTCCATGCGCTATGTCCATGCAGTGTCCTTGGAGGGGAAGACAGAGGGCATCAGATCCCTTCTGTAACTCGAGTTACAGAAGTTGTGAGCTGCCACGTGGGTGCTGGGAATGGAACTCAGGTCCTGCTGAACCATCTCTCGAGCACTGGTCATTTTTTAATACATATTTTTTCTAAGACATATTTTTTATTTTGATTTTATGTGTGCGGGGTTTTTTGTTTTGTTTTTTGCTTGCACAAACACCTGCTCATCATCTGCAGGCAGGGTCCCTAGAGGCTGGAAGAGGGTGTCAGAAACCCTGGAACTGGAGTTACTGGCAGTTGTGAGCCACCATATGCGTGCAGGGAATCAAACCCAAGTTCTCTGAAAGAGCAGCCAATGCTCTCAACCTCCAGGCATCTCTCCAGAACCAATCTTTTTTTTTTTTTTTCTGATAGCTTGTTCTTCTCCACAACTGAGCACAATATGTTATTTCTTTCTTGTGTTCCTGTTTACGATCTACTTCCCAACAAGGCTCCGAACTTCCAGAAAGCAAGCACCATCCTCTCTAGCACTTTAAACCCAACATCCGGCATACAGCAGTCCTAAAAAGTGCTTATGGCTCAGTTGGTAAAGGGCCTTCAGGCAAGCATAAGGGCCCAAGTTTGGATACCCACACGACGTAAAAGCCAGGCACAGCAGCTAGCGTCTACAACCCCAGCATTGGGCCAACTACAGAGAGGTAGAACCTTGCTGCTTATTGGCTAGCCAGTTCAGGCAAATCAATGAGATCCAGAAACCTCGCCTCAAATACTAAGGTGGAGGGGGATGGGGATTTGACTTAACAGGTAAAAACACTTGCCTCACAACCCTGAGGATCCAAGTAAACATCCACATTAATGTCAGGTAGGTGTGGTGGCCCACAATCTGAGACAGGCACAGGTGATCCCCAGAGCAAGTTGGCTAGCTAGACACTGTGTTCAAGTGGGAGAGCCTGCCTTATACATGAGGTAGAGGGCAATGCTGAGGAGATCACCTGATGTCAGCCTCTGGCCTCTACATGGACCCTTACGCACACACATGCACACTCACATACATGTGCTGTGCACACAAGCACAACACACACAAAGTACTTTGGAGGGTTGGGAATAGAGTTCAGTGGCTCAGAGCGCCTGCTCGGCATACATCAGGCCCTGGGTTCAATTCCTAGTGCCAGGGGGGAAAAGGCATCTATTAAAAGAACAGATATACTTTAGAGATGAGAAGCGGCGGGGAACAGGTAGAGCCTCCTCTATTCTTACTGAACGTCTGACAAGTGAAATCATAAGTAATGCCATCATCACCTAGTGACACCTTTGATATACTCCTCTCCTGTGGTCATCTCATCCCAAAGCCAAGAAGAGGGAGGGGTGCTTATCCCAAGATGTTCAGAGAGCCAGGAGCTCTGGTTTCTACACTGGAGAGGGAGGGGCCCCACACTGCCTGAGAGATGCCAGGAAGGCCCTACGTTATCTGTAAGGGAAATTACAAGAAAGAAGGGGGGGGGGCGTGTAACCAGTAACAATATTGCTTAAATTTTCCACCCTGCTATAAAACAATTTAAACGTGCATAAGAAGCCTAAAGCACACCACCAACTGCTTACTTGTGAGTTCAAGACCCCGATGGTCAGCTAAGCCATTTCTCTACATGTAAGTCTCTCAGAAAAACAACTCCTCAACTCTCATTTTTAATAGTCCAAAACTTTCCATGGGTAACTTATTTTACCATCCTCCTATCTTTTAGAACTTTTCAAACCATCTAACCTCTACAAAGCTATCCAAATGCTTTCATAGGCAGCCATTGGAGTCTCAACTGATACAGGAAGCGGAGTCTCCACCATTCCTTCCCTGGCTTTTAACACCTTGAAGATTACTGCAATACTAAATTTTATGGTGTTTACTCGCATAATGGCCCCCCTACTTGCCTACCCAGCTCCCAGGTGGAATAAATCTACTCTAAGAGATTATTTCCCAAATTTTATGGTGTTTACTTGCATAATGGCCCTCCTACTTGCCTATCCAGCTCCCAGGTGGAATAAATCTACTCTAAGAGACTATTTCCCAAATTTTGTTGCTTGTAGCGCCTCAGGAAGGTTTGTTTGTCTGTTTTTGTTTTAAACCAATCAACCACAGGAGACTAGAAGCTGGGAGGAGGGTCCTGTATGCTGTTTGCCTGATGTTCTTCTGACTGGGGTCTGCTATTGTCACAACACTTATCTGGCTCCTATTTAACCAACACCCACTGAAGCCTCAGGTCCTTAACAGATGCAAGAGTAAAATCAATTCCTTTCTGCTTTTCCCAACTGAAGGCCATACATTCCTTGCTACTAAAATGCATCCTGCCTGCATATTAGGCTGCCCTATATAGTAGACTACTTGGTACTTTAAAGGTGTGTGTTATCGCCGGGCGTTGGTGGCACACGCCTTTAATCCCAGCACTTGGGAGGCAGAGGCAGGCGGATCTCTGTGAGTTCGAGGCCAGCCTGGTCTACAAGAGCTAGTTCCAGGACAGACTCCAAAGCTACAGAGAAACCCTGTTTTGGGGGAAAAAGAGCATATTCTCTTGACTCCAAAATTGCTATAAAGGGGTCTATCAAGAGAGCAATTAGTAAGTTGGCTCTTAACATAATGGACCTCAAATCTCAGTGTCTGAAACCAAACAAAGAAACCACCTTCTATTCAATAACTGTTTTGCCACACACACACACACACACACACACACACACCAGAGATCGAGCAGACCAAGATTTTAGTTGTTGGTTTTATTTCTGATTTTTAACATATAAGGTATAATCAAACCATTAATAACTAGTTCAAATAGATTTTCTAGCCAAACCTCTTTCTTTCTGTTAAAACTGACAACTCTCAGGCTAAATCTTAATCTTCAATTCTCTGCTACCTGGGGCACCTTGGAGTTACATCAGGGCATCAGACAGGCTTATGTTAACGGGGTTCCCCCAGAAGCTAGGAAAGTCCCAGAAAGAGGTAGATGGAAACTTTGCAATATCACCTAATTGAAGAGTCAAAGACAGTCTATGGCAGTTATAAAAACCCACTAAGTAAGCACAATTTCCCTGATAGTCAATATTGTGACTAAGTGGTAACCCGCTCATGTGACAGAAACAGGAACAGCCTTTAAGTTTAGGATTACCTTCAAGAAAATGAGGAAAAATGATAGAGACAATGAAAGGGAGCTCAAGGAGGTTGTCATCTCTCACACTGCAGTGCAGGACCTTTTGAACCTCTCACTGGCTGCCCTCAAGCAGGAAGCAGAACCCTTTGCAAACATCAATTAAGGGCAGCAGCAAGCTGCTTTTGTAAATAGTTGAAACTGAGCTACAGCAACCCACCTGGGAGTCAGGATCGAGTAGACATCAGACCCAGGACTCTGGCAGGGGATACACTCTATCTTGCAAGGATATGAAATAGTCACTTAAGAAACAGATACTGAACAGAGACGTGAACATTCATCTTGGAATGGGACAATATGAAGAAGACCCGAGAGCCAACAACCCAAGCCCCTCAAGTGCCATTTATTTAATCAAGATGGAAAAAAGGAGGGCTTTGGTTTCTGCTACGTAGGTATGGCTTGGCTGGTAAGTGGCTGTTTCAGGCTACCCCATCCAACCTCACATCAAGGGCCTCCTTTTTTATTTGAGTTCAGAAACGCCTATTCACCTGTGGCCACAAAAGCGAATCAGGTGTCTCACTCAATTGCACACGTGCAGGCTGAAACTGAACCACCCTAGCCTGGGAACTACAGTTGTTCTGGCTCCTCCTGCCCCACCCCAGGGAAAAGTTAAAACACTCTGTATATCTAAAGTACAGGGACCGAACCGGCATGTTTCATAAACTGGGGTTTACATGGTAGCATGACTGGCATCTCTAAGGTCAAGCAAAGTAACCAGCTAAGCAAGTCTAAGCTTTCTTTGAGATGAACACAATCAAATGTGTTCTATTGGTTAAGCGGCCCTTTCCAGAACCGGTGAACAAGAACAAAGGAATCTGTTATGACTTTAAGGTGAACTGGCGTTTGCACAGCTTTCCCTGCAGAATTGGGGTGCCCTGTCAGAACTTTCGACTGAGGAGCAACAGGTGGGCTAGTGAGTAGCCACCACCAGGAATTAGGACCAGAGAGAATTTACCAAACTCCAAAGAGTCACAATGCTCACTTCTACTGATCTTGGAACCATCGCCTGACATTAATTCGGGGCAAAACACCAAACTTCTGAGGGGGCGTCTTCAGGTGGGAATTTGAATCAGCAATCACCAGGTTGGAGTCTTTTTCCGCCCAGCAATCCTCCAGTTCTGGGGTGTTGGGGCTTTCACTCCAATTAGTTTTCTCTGCTCCCTGCCCCAAGGGTTCTCAGCTCAAAGCGTCAAGCTTAACAAAATACCCAGAGGGCCCTTCCACCCAAGTTAAAGCGCACATCAAGCACACAGTACCCAACCTAATAGGAATTCTCTTACCCGCATATTGTTTCCATTCATCAAATATTCATCTAGTGCTGTGTGTGCCGTGCGTTCCGAGGCGCCCCGAGGATTCAAAACCTCTCCCGCCTCCCAAAAGCCCCTACACCGAGCTGGGACGTGACAGCCGGACGAGACGCTGGGTTAGAACGAAGCCATCGCGCGGTGACTGTTACGCTCGCACCCCAGGAGCAGCGCTGCCCGAGAGCCCTTCCTCCCCTAGACGCCCCGCGCCCACTCACTGCTTCTTCCTGCGGTTCTGGTCCCGGTGCAGCTCCCGCAGGTCCACCTCGGCGCGGCCCAGGAACTTATCGAGACCGAGCAGAGCGCGGTGCAGGACGGTGAGCTGCAGGGTGGCGGCGGCGGGCGAGGCCCCCGAGGACAGCAGTGGCGGCAGCTCGAAGGTGGCCTCCTCGCGCCACACGGGCGCGCCCAGACTGCGCTCGGACACCGACGTGGCGTACTTCTCCTTGCCCACCTGGATCACCGCGTACGCGTCGCTCGTGCCCCCGGGACCCTTGGCCCGCAGGCCCCGCGCCTGTAGCACCGTCACCTGGACATGTGTGGGGGACCACATGGTCCCCAGGCCCCGGCCCGCTGAGGCCGCCAGGGACATGGTGGCCGACGCCGTACCCGGCTGGCTGGGGATTCAGAAGGTAGCCGCTGCCCTCGATCTGGACCGCCCACCCGGCTCCCGGGCCGCTTTAAGGCTTCCGGCCACGCCCCCGCCACGCCCCCGAGTCCGCGCGCCACCTGCCTGTGGGGCGGGCCTTTCGGAGACAGAGACCCGGGAGGGGCCAGGAGAAGGCGGGGACCTAAAGGTCACGTGGACTCGCGCTTACTGAAGCTTTTGGATCAGAGACTTAACGATGCAACAAGAGGTCCTCAGCTACCTGAGTCCCTAGGAGGCGACAGGAGCTAGACAGAAGCCCTGGCTTGGAAATCATGCGTAATTTCTAAACCTGCACCGGCAAACCACAGCTGTGTGACCTTGTGTAGATTACTTAAAACTTTGCCTCAGTTTCCTCCTGTGTGAAACAAGGCAACAGTCATCCCTTGAACTGCTGTAAAGAAAGTGATACATTGAAGTTTTCAGCACAGTTGCGTCCACGGGGCGGGGGGGGGGGGGAGTTCCGAAATTGGTAACTGCTCAGGATAAGTAAGACGACCAAGACCAACCACAAGCACTGCTCCTCTTGCTCTGGTCCCCTGGGTACTGCTCTAAGGGAAGGCAGACACCAGGGACAGTGTAAGGATGTTATTTGGGCCTGCAAAAGGGAACAGAGAACGGGAGGGTAAGTGATGAGCCGGCCGGTGGTACCTGCCCTCACCAAATAAGGTGAGGTTGGGTTAGGAAGAGCAAGAAGGGGAACTGGAAATGGGATTGCCAAACTAATCCCTTCGGTTCCCCATTTCTTCCCACTGATCCTCTTGCGATGCCACTGGGCTCCATCTCTGACCTCCCACCCATCTACTGTCTTGTTCCCAGTGTCTAGTAGATTGGTGACTTCCCTGTGTAATTCAGGACATCATCCTTCAAAGGCAGGGGCCTCCTGTGGCAAGTCTTCAAACTGGAAGGCTTTTAGGTTTTAGCGATTAAGGAAAGGTTCAGGAAAAAGATGCGGCACATCCGAGGTCCTGCATTAAAGCTGGGAACTGAACTCTGGTGTCTTGGTTTCCATGCTACAATTTACTGCACCTCCCTCCGTCCTACCACATTCTCAGGACACCAGGTCGACCAAGGTCTCCAGGTTTCCCTCCCCTCCACTGGATTCCGTCGCGTGACCCTTCAATTGCTCCCCTTACGTCGGGAAGCCCTGCGGTGCTGCATTGCTCTCTCACTTAGAGACTTGAAGTCATGCCTCCTTGGGTCCCACCCCTATGCTTTCCTTGACTTCCGGATAAACGAACCTGCAGCCCAGACAGTTTCTCTCCCTCCAGGCAAGGGCTGCTTCCACAGTCTTTTATCTGCCCTTGCTGCCCCTCCCCCCCCATCTATCTAAATACTACCCACTGCTTCACAAAGATTTCTCCAAAGTTTGACTTGATGCAAGTGGATTATTCAGCTGCCCTGTTTCTCAGTCTTTAGGCGTGGCGGGGGCGGGGGGGGGGGAGTGATGGTGGTGGTGTCTTAGAAAATAAGATGGCCAAACTGGGCGTTGGTGGCGCACGCCTTTAATCCCAGCACTCCGAAGGCAGAGGCAGGCGGATCTCTGTGAGTTCGAGGCCAGCCTGGTCTACAGAGTGAGTTCCAGGACAGCCTCCAAAGTTACAGAGAAACCCTGTCTCGAAAAACCAAAAAAAAAAAAAAAAAAAAAGAAAGAAAAAGAAAAAGAAAAGAAGATGGCCAAGGTGGCCAGGACATGCGGATTATCAACAACCACTGTAAGACCCGGGGAGCCAGCCTGGGGAGGGCTGTGAGCCGTGGCAGCATCCTTAAACCATGCCCAGTTGCCAGACAGCTGTGACGGAGAACATGCAGGCGACAGCTATTTTCCGGCATCCGTGTCCCCCTGGAGACCCTCTTTGCCCTGTGCCGTCTGCTGGCATCTTGCCCATCCTTGCTGTCTCCACTCAGTCGGCTCTCCTGCTTCTTCAGCGTCCTCCAGCTGGACAAAGTCTAGATCTGCCATCCAAAACTGGCTCTGGGAGGAAGTTTTCAGCTCTGATATCCTCCAGAATTACTGGGGCTAGAGAGATAGCTTAACAGTCGGGAGTACTTCTTTTTTTTTTTTTTTTTTTTTTTTGGCTTTACAAGACAGGGTTTCTCTGTATTGTTTGGAGGCTGTCGGTCCAGCCTGGCCTCGAACTCACAGAGATCCGCCTGCCTCTGCCTTCGGAGTGCTGGGATTAAAGGGGTGCGCCACCACCGCCCGGCCAGGAGCATTTCTTGCTTCTTCCAGATGACCCAGGTTTGAGTCCCAGCACCTACACGGCGACTCAAAACTATCTCTAGTTCAAGAGGATCTGATAGGCTCTTCTGGCCTCTACAGGGACCAGGCATGTATGCGGTACACAGACATACATGCAAGCAAAACACCCACACACATAAAATAAAAATAATTTTAAATATTTATTTTTACTATATTATTTACTTTTTTTTATTAAGAAAAACAGGGTATCTGCACATACAGCAGGCTGACCTCAAACTTCTCTTTGTCCTGAGGGCTGAGATTACAGACGTGTGTGTGTGTGTGTGTGTGTGTGTGTGTGTGTGTGTGTGTGTGTGTGTGTGCTGCTTCCACAAGGAACAGAGCAAGGATTAAGCCAGAGCTGGGCAGTCTCTCGGCGTGAGCAGGGGACAGCATCTCTTCCCTCATGGAAGGGGTAAAGAGAGGGCGGTGGAGTGGGAAAGTTGACAACATGAGCTTTTGTGACCTTGTGTGTCTGGGTTTCTGTCCCACAGAGACTGACTAAGCAGGGATGGCAGGTTGGGGGAGGGCGGTGGCACTTCACCGCCAGCACCCAGTAAGTAAGGCCCATTTTCTCTGACAGTGGACTCCCAGAGCCGGCATCAATGGAATTGCCTGGGACTAGGCTTAGTCAGGGAGGGAATCTGACATTTGTCAATAAAGAGGGGATAGGGCGTTTCTTAGCCAGTTGTGGACCTACGAGGTGGTTGTTTTCTTCTCATTCTTGGGGTCTCAGCACACTGTCCCCAAGACTCAGTGACTGAGTGAGACTATGTCTGCTCCCATTTTGACAGCACTGTAACCTGACTAGGGATACCCAGGTGCTGTGACAAGGGCTATGACAAACAAGGCTGACAGACGAGGGGGCTCTGGATGCCCATCAAGTACACTACCACTCCTGGGCAGCTGGCTATCCTAAAGGCAGGCCAGCAACCTTACGGGGCCACTGGGAATGTTTGTAAATACCTGCCGCGGCTGGGGTGGAGACAGAGAGAACTGTTCTTCCTCCCACTCTGCCCCGAAAGAGGAAGAGCACTTCAGTCAGCCCTGAGCACACAGACAAGGTGCCTGGCAGGTTAGACTGGACAGGCAGGGCAGCAGCTGCCCTCCTGCAGTAAATAGCAGTGATGCACAGCCAGCAGGAGGAAGGCTCCTGGGCTGCTCCACAGGCAGTGACCAGGATGGGCAGGTAGTTCTGATCAGGAATGTAGATTTGCAGTGTTTGTAGTGGCCAGCTGCAGCTTCCTCATCCGTGTTGGGGGAGGAGAGGAGAGCTATTCAAGCAAAGGGACACTGTCACGGCCCTCCCAATTGCCAGTCGCTACCTCAAGAAGGTTTAACAAAAACAAACAAACAAACAAAAAAAGATCCTTGGGAAGTTTAGGTGGCTGGCGTGGCAGTCCAGAGGAGGGGCCGGGAGAGTCTGGTAATAATGGCTGCCTGTTCTCATTCTTTGCCGAAGATTCCAGGGCGTGGTGGTGACAAACGTCCACACACAGTGATTCATTCACCCAGCTCTTGGTAAATAGCTGTCTGGCCTCTTGTGTCCACCTGCCATGGCACCTGCCCCCTAGGTTGGCTGTGACTGCCTGCCTTCTGTTGTGAAGGTTTGGGGAGTGTGCTGGTTGGTTTTTTTTATTTTGGTTTTGGAGACAGGGTTTCACTGTGTAGCCCTGACTGCCTGGCTGTCCTGGATCTCTCTCTTTAGACCAGGCTAGCCTCAAACTCACAGAGATCTGCCTGCCTGTGCCTCCTGAGTTCTGGGATTGAAGCCGGTTTGTTTTTTGTCAAGTTGACAAAAACCTAGATATATCTGGGAAGAGGGACTCTCAGTTGAGAAACCGCCTCCATGGGACTGGTCTATGGGCACGTCTGTAAAGAATTTTCTTGATTAATGATTGATGTAAGAGGCCCAGCCCGCTGTGGATGGTGCCACCCCTGGGCAGGCAGGCCTGGGTTGTATAAGGCCTTGGTGATTGTCTATAAGCTGTAAAATGGAAATCAACCCTCCAGCCCCCCAGTGGCTTTTAGGCATGGTGTTTATCACAGCAATTGAAAGCAAACTACCACAAGGAAGGAACAACAGTCTCTGGCTGACTCATTGAGGGATGAGGAAGTATAAGTCTCCAACATCAGGGTCTTTTTCCATTGCCCTGAGTGGCTTAGTGGTAGAGCCCTTGTGTGATATTCATGAAGTATTGCACAGTACTGCCAAGAAGAAACAAACGCCTGAAAAAATTGAAGTTAAAAAAAAAAAACTGGCAAGACAGAGATAGTGCCCATAGGTCTTTTTTTTTTTCTCCAAACTTGATGCTGTTGCCTTTGTTTAACAAGGCTATGGCACAGATAACATGAAGGTTGCTGTCAAGACCTTTCAGAGAAAGTTCTGGATCCCTCTACAACTCCAAGACCATAGGACAAATGTGCCCCCACTTCTACCCATTATGGCAAAGACGTCCCTGCATCTCCTGTCTCCTAGTCTCTCTTGGCACTTTGATTGAATACCGTTTTATTCTTTCCACAGAAAGTAGGAATCTCCCTCTGCATCACCATTTCTAGCTAGCTAGGCCTTCCAATTTCTTGTGAGTTGAAGACAGCTAAGTAGAAAAGATATAAATGCCCAGCTACGTCACTTCCTGTCTGCCTGTCTGTACAGACCTCCAGACCTCTATGGTTAGCTAGTAGCAAGCTCCTTTCTCTGACCCCCAGACAGGCTTTATTTGTGCAAGAAAGATATCAGCACGCTCGAATGCTTCCAAAGTCAGCCATTGTATCTCAGCA